TGGAGAGGACGGGAAGGAAGGAGCAGGCCGCGCGCGCCGAGCCGCAGGAATGTGCTGTTCGGGCCTGCAGCGCGCGCGCGCGGAGGGAGAGGGAGGAGCCAGGCCTGGGAATGAGGGGGTGGAGGTAGTGCAGGTCCCCCGGGCTCAGGAGAACTGCCTTGCGCAGGGAATCTCCATGTTCTCCTCTCCCTGGTCCTCCTTGACACCCCTGCTTGTATTGACTTGTACGAAAAAGGGAGTGTTTAGGGGGAGGGGGAAACTAGAAGGGAAATGCGTGTGCTCGGTTCCTCCACTCCTTCCCCCATCCCAGACCCGGGCACGCGCCTAAGTGCAAAAGCTTGCAAAGCCTCGGGGCTGTGGAGGGAGAATCCTTGCAAGCATTCTCCCGAGCCAGGTGTGCTTGCACAAACGTGTGTGCACCTCTGATTTTATGCGCATGCAGACATGCATGTGCACTATTGCATATTTGCAAATGCGTGGTGCCTGCCAAGATAAATGCACGCACAGATGTGTGTCTAAGCAAGCGCGCGCGCCGAGATGCGAGTGTGTGTATGTGCGTGCTCCACTCCCAGCTCTGCTCATCTTGGTGCCCGGCCCCCTTCGCTCTCCAAGCCCCACCCCCACCCCTCCGGGCTTCGCTTTTACAAAAGGTCTCCCCAGTGCTAGCCGCCGAGGCGCCCAGAGACAGCCGGACCGCGGCTGGAGCGGCAGCCCCGGCTCTGCGCCCCGCCCAGTCCCTTTCCCCTGCTGGGGATACCCCTCTTCCCCGCCCACCCCTTACCCCCCATGCAGCCCGGCGCCCTATGCTAGCCCTCCCCCTCCCCCCCTCCAGGAGCGGGGCGCCGCCGGGGGAGGAGGGGGAATCGGCTGCGGGTCCTCGGTGTTCTAGCACCCAGCTTCCCTCCAAGCCGGGTCGCGATGTACGACTGCATGGAAACGTTTGCCCCGGGTCCACGACGGCTGTACGGGGCGGCGGGACCCGGGGCCGGCTTGCTGCGCAGAGCCACCGGCAGCTCCTGTTTCGCCGGACTCGAGTCTTTTGCCTGGCCGCAACCAGCCAGTCTGCAATGTAGGTACCCGAGCCCGGGGGTGGGGGGTTGGGTGCAGGACAGGCAGCAGCTCGCTCTTTCCGTGTGTACAAGGTGGACCTGGGGTGCAAGCGTAGATTCTGAACCTTTCCATGTGCGGGCTGGGTGTGTAGGAAAGAGAGGTACTGGCCCTTTAAACGTGGGGGCCTAAGCGACTCCTTTGGGTGTGTGCAGTAGTATGTTGGAGTGTGTGTGTGTGTGTGTGTGTGTGTGTGTGTGTGTGTACGGTGGGTGTATAGATAGGACCTGTGGTTGATGCCACTCCAGAGTTCCCGGGAATAGGGAGAGGCCACGGTGCGTTTGTAGTTTGTGCCGGCATGTCCAGTGGCCCCGGAGGGCTATGGCACCCAGGACCGTGGGTGGCGTTTGTAGCTTCCATGTGGGCAGCTGGAAGTGTAAAAAAATTATTTGCAGAGCGTGTGCATCCTTGGAGTGTGCAGCGCCAAGGCCAGGAGGTGCGGGTGTGGAGGTAGGGGTCTCTCCACGCAGCGTCGCCCTCCGCCAACGTTGGCAGGTTCACATGTTTGTGGCTCGAGGCCGGGAGGGCGTGTGCCCTTCGTGGCTGCGGGGGCGGTTTTGGAAAGTGCTGTGCTTGAGCGTGCATCCTGTGTGTGCTGCGTGCGGTGTGGAAGGGGTTGTGCACACAGCGGGACCAGGCTGTGTTCTGGCGCCCCCACCCCCACTGAAAAAAGAAATCTTAGGAAATGTGTGTAGGATTGTGTACACTTTTTCCTATGGCTCCAACCTGCAACTTTAGTAGGAAGCAAAAAGTTTCAAGCAAAGTCTGTGTATGGTGAAGGGTGGCCTGGAGGTGGCAGCGGCCGAGGAACACGACTCCTAGGTCCCCAAATATCCATCTTCCCTTCTCTGTGAAATGGGAGATGCCAGGCCTGGGGCCCTGGAACCCCTTTCCAGAGCGGTAATAAAAAGCCGGGGACTGAGAGGCAGTAAAAATGAAGTCCAGATGAGAGGCGGCTTTGAAGCCCGGGCCGAAGTGCCTGGCGGGGGTGGGGGCTGGGGAGGGGCCGGGAGAGAAGCCTGGAACACCCCCGAATTTCCCGGGGGCTAGGATGGCGCTAGTAGCCTGGGGACGCGGAGCTGGGGGGCACGCTGGGAAGGGGCGGGCGCCCGGGGAGTGCGTGCGCGGGGTCACTGAGCCCCCGCCAACGCGCCTCGCTCCTTGGCACTCGGCAGCGCTGTTTACGAGATCGACTTTTTTTTTTTTTGGTCTTTTAGTTCCAGGGTAGAGCTGCTCAGATTCAACAACTGGGAAACTGGAAGGAGGAGGTGGCAAACAGGAGACCGTACTGTGGGGTGGGGTGGGGCAAGAGTGAAAAACGTAGCATTTAAAGGGCGGAGAAAGCATGAACTACTGCCTAGCACCAAATCCTTGTAATTCTTCACCTTCCTTTCTTGGCCCAATAGGATGGGGAACTGGGGCTGTTGGGAGGGGTGCTGAGGCAGAAAGACTCTCTCAGGAAGGGTTTTAGTGGGGGCTGGGCAGGGGCCCCATCTTTTTTTTTTCGGGGCCCGCAGAAGCCCCTGGGACTTGGCTGGCAATGTGCTTTTGCATTTCAGTTTGGACCAACAGTTTTGGCCTCTAGGGTCTTGGTGGCCTTCAGACCTGCTCGACACACTTTCAGAGAGAAAGTAGTTTAGACCTGTGTGCCTAAACCTGGGGAGGAAAGATGTCCTTTGAGGGGAGGACCACTCGGTGTGTTTGTGTTTGGTGGCTTCGGTGTCCTGGTGCTGCGTTGGCAGGCCGTGGGTGTTTGTCTGGTGGCAGAGCTGCTCCCTTGCAACTGTGAAGTGAGTGATGGGTGTCGTGTGTCCGCTCTCTCACTTGTGCATCCACCTCCCGCGGTGTGGCTGGAGTGAGTGTTCCTCTGTGTCTGCCTCGGAGTTCTTCTGTGCCAGGGTCCAGTTGGGGTACAGGACGCCACTGGTAATGTGCCTGCTTTGTGCCCTGTGTGTTGTTGATGTGTGAGAGTGCCTCCAAGGAGGTGTGTGTCAGATTGTGAGTCCAGGCTTCTCAGCCCTGGGCCTCGCAGCTGGGAGTGTTTACAGCCGGTTATAAAGAGTTTGTTTGAAGCTCCGCTCAGCCTGGCCAGGAATTTCCTCAATTTCAGCAATTTGGGCTTTAAAAGGAGAAAAACCCAGAGCCCACCCCCCTCCTCCCCAGCAGGGGCCCCTGCCTAGCCAAGAAGCGGCATCCCAACGGTGGGGTCTCAGGGCTGAGAAAGGGATCTGAGCAGAGTTGACCGATTAGCCTCCTGCGCACTTGCCCCCAGCTTGACCAGAGCCACTAGACTGCACTTTAGGCTTCGGGGCGGGGGTGTGCCAGAAGGGTGCTGAGAAGGGGTGACAGTACCACGTAGACAAGAAAAGCTGCCCCCAGGGGGCCTGTCTCCCTGACGCCCCCAGTCTCATAATTGGCTGGCACAGGCCCATGCCAGTCTGACCGCACCCAGGCCCTTTCGCAAGAGAGGAAATGAAGCAGCGCTCTGCGGGCAGGGAGGGCGTCAACACCGAGTGAGCACCAGCCCACGCACTGGCCTGTGGGCAGCACGTGTGCCCTCAGAGGACACTGGGACTGGCCTTTCCGGCATACCAGCCCGCCCCCCCATCTCTCAGCACCAGCCCCCTTGGATCTCCCGCTCCATGCTGAATAGACTCCAGGCACCCTTCTTCCCTCCCCTCCCCTCCTCTCTCCTTGTTCATTGGGGAATCTCTCTCCAGCTGGATTCTTATGCTAATCGAGTGTCTGTGTGTGTTGGGGGGCAGGGAGGGCTTCCCTCCCATGGGGAGGGTGGAGCTGGCCCGGGACCCGGACATCCCGGGCATTCCTCTGCCCTTTTGGTGGCCTGGGTGGACTTCTGACCAGGTGGGCTGGCTGCAGCAGGTTAGAAGGAAAAAGGTGTTCGTGAGGTGGGTGCAAGCAAGGGGCACTCCTAGGGAGGGTCTTAGGGTTTTCTTACATTAACTTGGGCCCTCCACGTTTGGGCAACAGGTCTTACCGGTTGAATAATTTAATTTCTAGATTTTTCCAGCCTCTGAAGATCAACCACACAAAAAACGTTTATTCAGCAGCCTCGCAAACAGAGGGTGTCCTCCCCACACACACTCTGCGTGGCGTGGCTGAGGTCTCTTTGGAGCTGTGATTGAGTACTTGTGGGGAAGTTTAGGAGTGAAGACATCCCTCAGAGAGGGTCCAGCGATGGCTCCCCTCCCCCACCGGCCCTGTTTACCCACTGTCACCTGACTTTTCTCCGGTTTGCTACACCCCCAACAGCTTCTAGACCTGAGAATCAGAGCAAATACCTGTCTCCCTTCTTCCAGCTTCTCTAACTCCTGGTGAGGCCATGGAGATCTGGTCAGAAGAGCCAAGAACCTTGGCTCCATCATTAGCTGGCAGTGTGGTGTGGCACTGGGCTGGTCACTTCCCTCTTTCGACCTCAGTTTCTTCAGGTGTAAAATAAGGCTGTTGCACGTGCCTTAACCTACTTTCCTAATACCTGTGTCCCATTTGCTCCACTGTCTTAGCGGGTTCTGGGGGAAAGGACATTGGCAGCTGTTTGGGGGGTGGTGTGAGAGGGATAAGCCCAAGGATTGTCCACCCTGTACTGCTTGAGAGAAAAATGAGGTTCTAGACTACTGAGTGTGCCAGCGGGTCATTTAGCCCAGTGCTAGTTACAGGTGGCCTTGACTTGCCTACTGACCCCAGATCTGTTGTCTCATGTGGAGGAGAGTGGTAGGAGGTAGGCTGCCTGACAGGGAACTGATATGACAGGGAGTGACTGGGGAGTTCAGAGCCACGGGCCATAACCCCTCCACACACCCACTTTATAGCTGTGGAAACTGAGGCCCAGAGAGGTTAACTTCCAGAATGGCCTGGGCCTGGACTTTGAGTTGAGCAGGTCATGTAGGGCATCATTGTAGGGGGAGATGGCCAGACTGGGAGGTAAAGTTGTAGTGATTGGGAATTTCTGGAAGTGTTTACTAGGGAACTGGATACGGGTTATTGGGACTTCTAATCACCGCGGTGGCGAGGGTGTTGGCACCTCTGAGCCGGAGGAAGAAGTAGGAATGGGTGGGTAGGTGTCTGATGAGGATGCCTAGAAATCTGAAGGGTCCTTCTCCCCTGACCCTCACATCACTGCTTCCCCCCAGCGGTGGAGACACAGAGCACTAGCTCCGAGGAGATGGTGCCCAGCTCGCCCTCCCCTCCTCCACCTCCTCGGGTCTACAAGCCGTGCTTCGTGTGCAATGACAAGTCCTCTGGCTACCACTATGGGGTCAGCTCTTGTGAAGGCTGCAAGGTGTGTACGTGGTGGGGGCAAGTGCATCAGGCATCCAGAGTTCACTGGGTGAGGTCAGAGACTCACTGTGTGTGAGTGGTTATCCCTCTGGGGTGGGAGGGGGCTGCTTTGCGCAGAGGTGGTTAATTGATTGGGTCAGACCTGGGGTAACCTGCAAGGCCTGTGAGGGGCTAGTACACCCAGCCTCCTGCTTCACTGACCCTCCCTTACTCCCAACTCCAGGGCTTCTTCCGCCGTAGCATCCAGAAGAACATGGTGTACACATGTCACCGCGACAAAAACTGTATCATCAACAAGGTGACCCGGAATCGTTGCCAGTACTGCCGGCTACAGAAGTGCTTTGAAGTTGGCATGTCCAAGGAAGGTAGGCTCCGTGGCCTGCCTGGGCAGGAGCAGTCTGTCCTAGCCTGTGGTTGCCACCCTTTTCCCACTGGCCACCCCCACTTCCCTGACCTCTGAGATCCAGCCTGCCCTGGAGTACCGCCTCCTCCCCTCCAGTCCTGTTTGATTAGCTCCATTCACCCAGGAGACCCCACCCCTTCCCATTCTCCCTTCCTTCCTCCGAATGAGTGAATGGGGCTTACCACTGCACATTCCCTGCTTCATGGGGAAGGTGGTGGGGCTTGGCAGTCCCCTCCCCTTCTCCCAGGACTGAGCCCGAGGTGGATCTGGGGTACCCCCCGTCCCTCCGCGCCACTTGTGCTGCCAAGGCACGCTAAGGGGATTAGGCTTCTGCCT